ACAATTGTAGCTTTTGGATCTGATAAGGTCAGTGAAATCCTCTCAGGATTTATCCTGAGATCCTGTACCTCAGATCGTAAAACCTTTGTCAGTGTCAGCCATGTGGATGAGTCACGGCCATTGTTTGGCCAATGTGCTCTCTGTGAAAGCCTGAGAGAATGTTTTCTCTCCAGTTGACTCTCCTTAGGCACACTCTACATCATCGATCACTTTCCTCTTTGGCCCCATAATCTCCTTGATCAGAAAATTTGGGACACTACCGAGTTACATGGTGTTACAGTACAGGTTCTCATATGTCCTGAGTCTTAATTGACCTTGAAAGGCTAGGGCCAAAATGTTGGCTATTCTTGTAGCTGTCCTTTTTCTCAATTTTGGTCTGCAAACTTAGGTTGTTAATGATCCAGAAGAGAAGCTTATTGTTATTACCATACAACCTAGGCTGTTGAGTTTAACCTCATTATCTGTCTGAATATCAAACATCTTAGGTATAATATGGAACAGTTATTTTTCATAAAGTATTGATATATTAAACTTTAAGTCCTTACAGAATATGACCAAAAAATTAGAAAATTAAACTATATTTTAAAAATAGGAATAAAGAATTATATATGTTTACACATAAATCCAGAAATCTAACCATATACAACACTGTTGCAGGACAGTCCTGCAACACTCCTTTTCCTGTCTCCTGTACAGGCAAGATTTCTTTCAGCATTCTGGTTGTCTCAACTCTGACCAGAATCTCCCATAAAGAACATCCAAAGCTTTTCCTGCTTTTCTGTTGTAGGCAACACCTCCAAACATTTCCTATATCTTCTCATAAGCCGTTCCCAAAATCTTGTAATCCACATGACCAGGCTTAGCCACAATAACAAGCCCACTTCTCTGGCATGAAATTCTGTCTCGGTTACTCTTCTGTTTTTCTGGGACAAAATACCTGACTCCTAAAATGAAGGAAGGAAATGTTTATTCGGCTCACAGTAAGTGGACTTTTTGGTCTATATTCAGCTGGCTCCAAGGCAGGTGAACATGGCACAGAGAGTAGCTATTCATGGTGGCAGAAAAGAGCACAAGCACAAGGGAGGAGTAGCACCAGCAATGGCTACAGAGAACAAGCCTGTCTCCCTTATGTTGCATTCAGAACATTCACTGCAGACTGGGTGTAGTACTCACACCCATAATCCCAGCAGCACTCACACCCATAATCCCAGTGGATCATGAGTTAATCACAAATTCTATAAGTCTGTCCCATGGTTTCATGAGACTGTGGGGAGACAATTAGAAACCACACCAAGGAGTGAGCAGTACACACAGAGCACAGAGCCTGCACTCCAGTCTGCTTCTGACCTTTAGACACCTTGTGGTGCAGGCACACCGCAGAGCCTCCCACGGCCTCCAATTCACATCTGTGAAACGAGGATCAGGGTGCTCTCTGCCTCCAACGCAGTGACACCAAAGTGACTGCTATCTTGACAACGTTGAGTTCCTTATTTTTCAAAATGAGTGCACACACACCCAACAGTTTGGAAAATCGTAGTGCTGATTTCTGCTGGTCTTTGGAAAGGACCAGTCAGTGCTTAAAATTTTTTGTTTCTTCTTTCTTTCTGTTGAATTTCTTACATTTTTGTTATTCTTTTTTGTTACTGTTATTTAAACCAATTTTGCATACTTATATCTGGTCAACTCAACAACTCACTTGAAGATAACATCATGGAATACAGCAAACATTGTTGAATTCCTATTTGTTTCTCTAGTGAAACTTCATGTCATTTCTAATGTTATTTTCTCTATCACTATCTTGTATTTTTCTTTTTTGTCTTTTTTATTAATTTTATTGAGAAACAACTAGCAATGAGGCAGTTCCACACAAGGTTAGTAGGACAGTTACAATAATTAATACATTGCATATTCTCTTCATAGTAGTTATTCATAGTACAAGATGCAGACATGATATCCTGTCCAAACACTATTAGTACAAATCTTTCTTCTCACTGAATTAAGAGAAAGTAGCTGTATATATATATGTATATATATATATATATATATATATATATATATATGTATTTCACTACAAAATGGTCCTTCATTTATACCCCCTTTCTTGTTTAGTTTTGTCAGAGATGGATATTCCATTTCCATTTAAATATTGTAGGTGCATGAATTCAGCAAAATAATCCAATATAGTCCAGTAGTCCATAATAGTAGTGGGTTACCCGTAGGACTGGCAATATCAGAAGTTGTTGACTTGAGTCTTTCACAGCTCAGCATATTAATATGGCTTTATTTTTTATACTTTGTTTTTATACTTTATCTTGGTCTTAACTGTCCAGCAAAAAAGTATAAAAATGAGGTATAAAAATTGTCTTGTATTTTTCTAAAAGTAAATAATTTACACTAGAGCCTAACATATAAACTAGATGCTGACCCTTCAATTATTTAAGATGAATAGTACATAGATTTCAGGACTGCAACTGAGGCTGAAATAACAACTCAGAAAAGACAACATGGAAGGCTTTGCTACCCAGCAGGTCAGGCCTCCTTGTTTTCATCTCAGGAATTCACTTTCCTGCAAACAAAATTTTTTACTACTTCTCCCTGAGCTTCTCAGTCAACCTGACATACACATTCCCTCTGTGATGAGAAACCATCTATCCCGCAAGAAGATGCTTTGTTGCTTGACCCTGCACACAGGGTGGGAGCCAGGTTAAGATCCCCACAGTATCAGGAAAAAGGAACCCGTCTCCACTGCTGGTGGAAATGTAGACTGGTGCAACCATTATGGAAATCAGTGTGGAGACTCCTTTAAAAAATAGGACTGGAAATCCCATTCAAACCAGCTATCCCCCTGCTGGGAATTTTCCCAGAGGAACTGAAAATGTCATATCATAATGATGTATGTGTACTTATGTTTCTAGCAGCACAATTTGTGATAGCAAAATCTTAGAAACAACCAAGATGCCCATTACCTGAGGAATGGATGAAAAAGATGTGGTATTTTTATACAATGGAGTATTACTCAGCTATAAAGAATGATAGGGGCCAGGAGATGGCTCAGTGGAATAAGTGCTTCCCTGGCAAGCACAAGGACCTGAGTTCAATCCCCGGTTCCGCCAAAAAAAAAATGATAAACTCAAAGCCTTCATATTTAAGTGGATGCCACTTGAAGATATACTCATAAGTGAAATAAACCAGACCCACATGTGTAAATGTTGAATAGTCTACCTAGTATAAGAACACAAAAAAAGAAATAAAAACTGAAAGGTATAACACAATTAAAAGGAAAGTGGGAACTTAAGGATTAGACAACGAAGAGAGGACAAGGACAAAAGCTAGGAAACATGACAGGGGCAAAGCTATATATTTATAAGCACAAGATGGTTAACGCAATAATCCTGAGAATCTTCAGCAGGTTTTTGAAACTAGCAGTGAATTGGTAGGATTATCACCCTGACTATATATGCTGATACCTGTGAACTAAGCAACTGCACTGAAGATAGCAATGTATAATACTAGGGTCATGCTTGGAATGCCTGTCACTCTGGTCTTCTAAATATGTACTGCTTGTCATGTCATACCAATTTCTGCCATACTGTCTCTCAAGTAAATGTCTGTTTTTAAAAAAAGAGGTAATAAATGAAAACAAGAGACAAAAAAGTCATAGAACTGTCCTGCTACAATACTATATATGGTTACATTTCTAAATTTCTGTGTAAAAATATGTAATTGTTTATTCCTATTTTTAAAATTTATTTATTTTTTAAATTTTTTTCTTCATATTCTGTAGGGACTTAAAGTTTAATATCAATACTTGATGGAAAACACCTGTTCCATGTTATGTCTAAGATGTTTGATATTTAAACAGATAGTAAGGATAAGCTCAACTGCCTATGTTGTAGGGTAATAATAATAATAAGCTTCTCTTCTGGAGGGTTAACAATATAAATTTGCAGACCAAAAATTAGAGAAAAAGAAGGGCTGCAAGGACAGCCAACATTTTGGCCCTAGCCTTTCAAGGTCAGTGAGGACTCAGGACATAGGAGAACCTGTACTGTAACATCCTGTAACTCAGTTGTGTCCCAAATTTTCTGATTAAAGAGATTATGGGGCCACCAAAGAATGTGATTGATGATGTAGAGTGTGCCTAAAGAGAGTCACATGGAGAGAAAACATTTTTCAGGCTTTCACAGACAGCAAATTGGCCAAGCAATGGCCATGACTCATTCACGTGGCTGACACTGACAAAGGATCTACAAACCACGGTACAGAATTTCAGGATAAATCCTGAGGGGATTTGACTGACCTTGTCAGATAAAAAGTTACATTTCTTGTTATATAGGTCTTGGTTTATCTTGGTCTTAACCATCCAGCAGGAAAGTATAAAAACGAATTATAGAAAGCAAAGCCAGGGGCTGGGGAGATGGCTCAGTAGAATAAGCACTTCCCTAGCAAGTGCAAGGGCCTGAGTTCAATCCCCAGTTCTGAAAAAAAAAAAAAGTAAAGCCATATTATATGCTGAGCTGTGAAAGGCTCAAGTCAACAACTTCTGACATTGCCAGTCCTATGGAAAACCCACTACTTTTCTTGACTGCTGGACTATATTGGAATATTTTGCTGAATTCACGCACCTACAATATTTAAATGACAATGGAATATCCTTCTCTGACAAAACTAAACAAAAAAAGCAGATACAAATGAACGACCATTTTGTATCTGTATATTCAAAATAGTTAGGATAGACATACAGCTACTTTCTCTTAATTCAGTGAATAGAAAGATTTGTTCTAATAGTGTTTGTGGACAGCATATAATTTCTGCATCTTGCACTATGAATAACCACTATGAAGACAAGAATATGCAACGTATTAATTATTGAAACTGTCCTAGTAACCGGTTTTGAAACTGTCTCATTGCTATTTGTTTCTCAATAAAATTATTATTAAAAAAAAAAGATGCGCACAGCAAGCACAGGCTCAGCAGCTCTGTGTCTCCCTCTCCAGCAGCAGTGGCAGCCCCCGTCCTGGTACTGTTCACCACCAACTTCACCATCCTGAACCTGTGGTTCCAAGAAGATATGGCCCACCCCGGCTCCCTGAAGTTCACCTTCATGGAGAAAGTCCTACAGAAACTGGTGCGAGCCCACATGCCCTTGGATGGATAGTAGTACATCCTGCTGCCCCAGACCACACGCATCACTGCTCCCACCTCATCCAGCCCTGCCAGCCCCACACACCGCACCCTGCCCACTCCCTCTGCACAGAGCCTCAGCTCCTGGGTGCTCCCCTCAGTGATGCTGTCTCGCTCCTTCTCCTCCCTCCCAGCTCCAGCCCCTCTTCAGGAACAGCAGCCTGGGAGCCCTCTATGCGGGCTGCAGACTGGCCCTGCTCAGGTGAGATGGTCTCCAGGAGAAGCGGAGCACAAGCGCGGAACTCTTCCTGCAGACGATCCCAAACTGCCCTTCCCTCCTCCCACATGTCACCTAGAATCTGATAGGATGAGGGAGGAGGCTTGCCCTGCCATGAAGGCCAGCCCTCGCTACTTAGGAAGTTAATGCCAGCATCACCTGCCTAAGGAGACCCTGTCTCAAACAGGAAAAGCTGTCTCTGGGTCTTGCCCTTGAAGTTCGCTCCATTTTTCTTAGTCTTCTACCCTCAGCCTTATTTCTCTCTGAGAGTATAGCTGACTGTAGAATAGGAGGTAAGACCCTCAGTGAATTTTCATGGGCCGTAGTGGGGGTCCTGCCCTGTTATTTCCTGAGGTCAGTCATTGGGACCCTCAGCTGGCAGGATAGTTCTAAGCATTGTGCCTGGTGGGTGCTTCCCTGAAGACAGCAGCTTCCTCTGCACTAGCGTTTTTCCACATTCAGGCTGGGGCTTGCACAGAGCTTAGGGACACAAAGATGGAGACATCCTTCCACCAACCACTTACGGTGCTTCCCAGGCCTGAGCAGGATGGAACAGCCACAGAAGTGGACCTTGTGTGCTCACACCGCCCTGGGCCTGAAGGCTTCAGCCTGGACAGAGAGCGGCTTTACTGGGAGCTCAGCCAGATGACCCGTGGTGTCACCCACCTGGATGCCTACACGCTGGACAGGGACAGCCTCTATGTCAACGGTGAGCAACGGGGATGTGGCTGGGCAGACTCTCCTTTCTAGTAATGGTCCCATTCTCTGTCTCCCTCCTGAGGGCTTTAGGGCCGACTCAGTGTGTGCTGTCTCTGGTGTGCCTCTCAGTGTTTCTTCCTTTTCTTTTTCTTTTTCTTTTTCTTTTTTTTTTTTTTTTTCTTTTTTTGGTGGTACCAGAGATTGAACTCAGGACCTTACACTTGCCAGGCAGGTGGTTATTCTACTGAGCTATCTCCCGGCTGTTTCTTCCTCTTGTGCGGCATTCTTCCTCAGGGCCTCTGCTCTGCTGTGAGAGTTCCCATACAGATTCTCCTGTCAGCCCTTGATTGCAAATGTCCTTCATGCTGCAACAGGGCTAGGGATTCCTACTGGGTACCTTATGTGCTCTGGAGCCTAACCTGCCCCTCTATGCTTCTCCCTGCAGGATTTAACTATCACAGATCTGCACTGATAACAAGCAGTGAGTATTCACTGACTTCCAGCAACTCCCCTCCCTTCCTTCCCTCAGGGAGAAAGACCTGGAACCCCCCATTCCCCATGAGGTCCTCTCCAGGATCAGACACTCTGGGGGGCACAGTCTTTAACCTCTACTCTTCCCTAGCCTCACCCAGAGTCCCAGCTCAGCCCCATGTGCAGCTAGCCCCATGAGCAGTCTGTGCTGCTGCCCTGGGAATGCCTAGTAGCTTTCACTCAAAAGAGCTTTTCCTCAGGTCCTGGAACCCCCACAGTGCTCCTGGGAACCTCTGCGGCTCCACTGTCCTTCTCCAGCCCCACAGGTGAGTTCGCGACACTTCTGTGACAGATCGCCCGAACCTGCTACTGGCTCCAGTGTGGTTCACTCAAAGGTGGAGGCTCTCAGGGCAGTGAATCAAGCTACAGCACCCAGTGAAGCCTGGTTCAACTTGTGCAGGGGATCCTTGGGGGAGACAAGGTCATCTCTGTCCTCAGTGTATACAGCTGTGGTGACGAGGGAGGTGATCTTCCTGGTAGTGTTGAGGACCATGCTGCTGCTGTTGTGCTGTGGAGGATGGTGGCGATTCTCCTGGGGATGACAGCAGTGGTGGTGACAGTGCTGCTGCTGTTGCTGCTGTTGACTGTTTGGTAACAAAACGGTGGAAGCCAGCATGCATTATGGCCTGGAGGGGTACGCAGCACACACAGCGCACAGAGCCTGGAGTCCAGCCTGCTCCTGGCCTTTAGACGCTGTGTGAGGCCTGCACACTGCAGCCCTTCCTGGGCCCTGCAATACGCATCTGTACAGTGAGTGTCAGGGCGCTCTCTGCCTCCAAGGCACTGACACCAAAGTGACTAATATCTTCATGATGTTGAGTTCCTTATTTTTGACAAATGACCCACACACACAGAATAGTTTGGATGATTGTTCTGCCTTTTTCTGCTGGTCTTTGGAAAAGAACAGTTCATGCATTAGAAATTTATTTTCTTTTTCCCTTTTCTCTTTTAAATTTCTTCCGACATTTTTGTTATTGCTTTGTTTTGGTTTTTGTTTAAACCAATCTTATTCATTTCATTCTGCTCTCCTGAACAACTAATTTAAACATAGCATCATACAATACAGCAACCATTGTTCAATTCTTATTACATTTTTTAGTGAAATTTTTTTATCATACCCAATGCTGCTTTGTTCAAAATTTTATTTTATTTTATTTTGAAGCTTAAACAAAAAAGAAAAACAAATATCAGAAAAGATAACATACAACAACACATGTTACATATTTTCAAACCAAGAATAGCTAATTAACATTTGTTATTATGTGACTTAATTTTATTGTTAAATTTGTTGCTCAGATTAACAGATATAGTTATGAGATATTGGATAAATCATTGATTATTCACACTTGCTTTTTTAAAATTAATTTTATTGAGAAAGAAATAGCAATGAGACAGTTTCAACAAAGGTTAGTAGGACAGTTACAATAATCAATACACTGCATAGTGTTGTCTTCAAGTAATTATTCATAGTACAAGATGCAGACATGATATCTTGTCCAAACACTATGAGTACAAATCTTTCTTCTCATTGAATTGAGACAAAGTAGCTGTGTATCTATCCTAACTATTTTGTATATACATACAGATACAAAATGTTCATTTATATCCCCTTTTTTTGTTTAGTTTTGTCAGAGATGGGTATTCCATTGTTATTGAAATATTGTAGGTGTGTGAATTCAGTAAAATAACCCAATATAGTCCAGTAGTCCATAAAACGTTTGCTTTTAATGAACATTCTTTTGTTTTCTTGTCTTCACTGCACTGAGAACAGCAATGTGTAATGCAAGAACCATGGTTGAATACCTCTCATCTTGGTCTTCTAAAAGTGCACTGTTTCTACTGTCTTATTAATTATTTTTATATTTTCTCTAATGCTGCATTATTCAATGACAGCTTTGTTTTTTAAAGTAAGTAAAAAATTTACAATAAGGCCTGATGCATAAACTGTAAACTGCTGCTTCAATGATTTAAAAATCAATAAATACATGGACTTCAGAAATACAATAGGGTTAAAAAAAAAACCTCAGGGGGTAGGGCTGGCCTGGCATTTGCCTGGGATCAAACATGATCCCAGTGCTTGCCTAAGTTTGCCTAGGCAGATGCTTAGATAGCTGAACTATCTCACTGGCCCAAATTTGAATTTTAAAGGCTCACTGGTAAAGCAGTTAATTTGTTAAAATATGGGTAATGTATTCCAAATTATTAAAGTAATTTTGAGTTCCAGGTTTCTTCCCAGTTTTACTTGATTTAAAATTTGATGAGGGGAGCTGAGGAGATAGCTCAGCACAATAAGAGTCTGCCTGGCAAGCACAAGTTCCTGCGATTAATCCCCGGTACCAGAAAAGAATAAATAAATGAAATGAAAACAACTCAGAAATGAGAATGTGGAAATCATTGCTGACAATAGGGTCAGGCTTCCACTTTCACCTGGGAACGCACTTCCCTGCATAGAGCAGCTTGTCATCCTTCTGCCTGAGCCGCTCAGGTACTGCTGCATGACGAGTTCCTGCCCTGAGAAGAAAGCCTTCATCCTGGAGGATGCAGCTCCAGAGGCTGACCTTGCACAAGGATGCGAGCCAGGCTCAGGCCCCACAGCAAGCACAGGCTCAGCTTCTGCCTGTCTCCCTCTCCCCACTGCAACAGCAGCCCCCGTCCTGGTCCCGTTCACCATCAACTTCACCATCCTGAACCTCTGGTTCGAGGAGGACATGGCGCTCCCCAGCTCCCTGAAGTTCAACTTCACAGAGAGAGTCCTGCAGAAGCTGGTGAGAGCCCCGCTGCCCTCGGCCTGCTGCCAGTGAAATCAGCCTCACCCACATCACACCCATAGCTCCCCCAGCCTCATCCACCCCTGCCAGCCCCACACACCACACCCCTGCCCACTCTCCCTGCACACAGCCTCAGCTCCTGTGTGCTTCACTCAGTGACACTGTCTCACTCCTCCTCCATCCTCCCAGCTCCAGCCCCTGTTCAAGAACAGCAGCCTGGGAGCCCTCTATGCAGGCTGCAGACTGGCCCTGCTCAGGTGAGATGCTTCCCAGGAAAAGCAGAGACCTAGCATGGAACTCTGCCTGCAGACGATGTTCCACGATGCGAAACTCCCCTCCCTCCTCCCACATGGCACTCAGAGAATCTCTAGGTCGACCCCAGGAGCTGGGAGGTTGATGCAGGAGGCTTGCCCTGAGTTCAAGGCCAGCCTTGGTGACATAGGACATTAATGCCAGCCTCACCTACATAAGGAGATCGTGTTTCCAAAACGAAAAGCACTGTGTAGAGCTGGCACTTCAAGTTTGCTCCTTGTGCCCAGTCCCTACCCCCAATTTCATTTCCCTCACAGAGAAGACCAGACAGGTGTTTACGGGGTAAGACCCTCAGTGAGTTCAGACAGCCCTGGTTGGGCGCCCAGCTCTGGCATTTGCTGAGGTCCTGGATAGTGGCCCTCTGTTGGTGCCATCTTTCCAAGCATTGTGCCAGGTGGGGCCTTGCCTTCGAGACTGCAGCTTCCTCTGCACCAGCATTTGTCCACCTTGAGGCAGAGGTGGGTAAAATATTGGGGATCACAGTGATGGAGACCAACTATATGTGCTGCCCCCTAGCCCCAAGCAGGGTGGCGCAGCAACCACAGTGGATGCCGTTTGCACACACCGCCCTGGACCTGAAGGCTTCAGGCTGGACAGAGAGCGGCTTTACTGGGAGCTCAGCCAGATGACCCATGGTGTCACCAACCTGGCCGCCTACACCCTAGACAGGGACAGTCTCTACGTCAATGGTGAGCCGCAGGGATGTGGCAGGCTGTCTTCCTCTTTCTGGGTGGACCCTCCTTTCTGGTAATGTTCATGTTCTCTGTCTCTTTCATGAGAGCTTATGATGGGCTGACTCTGGCAGGGCTCACTCTTCTGTGCCAGATTAATCCTTGGGGCCTCTGCTCTGCTGTGAGGGTTCTCAGCAGAGAATCTCAGCAGATTCTCCCTGCAGAGAATCTCCTGGGAGCTCTTGATTCAGGAATGTCCCTCCCACTGCTGCTGGGCACACAGATCCTCCATCAGTGCCCTATGTGTCCAGGGACACTAACCACCCCCTCCCTGCTCCCTGCAGGATTCAACTACCGCAGCTCTGCAGCCATCACCAGCAGTGAGTATTCAACTGTCTGAAGCGACTTCCCACACTTCCCCAGCCCAGGGAGAGAAAGAGTGGCCACCCCACATGCCCCATGATGTCCTCCCCAGGATCAGTGGCTGTGGGGGGGCACAGTCTTTCACCCCCCTGCTTCCCCAGCCTCACCCAGAGTCCCAGCTCAGCCCCATGTGCAGCAAGCCCCATGAGCAGTCTGTGCTGCTGCCCTGGGAATGCCTGCAGCTTTCACTCAGAAGAGCTTCTTCTCAGGTCCTGGCACCCCCACAGTGCTCCTGGGAACCTCTGCTGCTCCACTGTCCTTCTCCAGCCCCATAGGTGAGTGCGTGGCTCTTATGTGACAGGTCGCCAGAGCCTGCTACCTGCTGCAACATGGCGCACTCAAAGGTGGAAGCTCACAGGGCACCTAATGATTGTGAATCAAGCAACAGCACCCAGCCAAGCCTGATTAAACTTGTGCTAGGACGAGGTGATCCCTGGGGGAAAAGTGATTGTTCTGTCCTCAGTGCTTATGGCTGTGGTGACAAAGGCAGTGATCCCTGGTGGTGTTGAGGACCATGCTGCTGCTGTTGTGCTGGGAATGATGAGGGCGGTTCTCCTGGGGGTGACAGCAGTGCTGGTGACAGGGCTAATGCTGATGATGTTGACTGTTTGGTAATGAAAAGATAGAGGCTCAGGTCCCCACAACTGGCATAGGCTCATCGCCAGCATGTCTCCCTGTCTCCCTGCAGCTGTGGCCCCTCACCTGGTCCCGTTCACCATCAACTTCACCATCCTGAACCTGCGTTTTGAGAAAGACATGGCACACCCCGGCTCCTTGAAGTTCAATTTCACAGAGAGAGTCCTGCAGAAACTGGTGAGAGCCCGGCTGCCCTTGGCCCTCTGCCTGTTCCCCCAAGAGCACAGGCAGCACTCCCCCAGCCTCATCCACCCCTTCCAGCCCCCCACGCCGCACCCCTGCCCACCCCTTCTGCACAGAGCCTCAGCTCCTGTGTTCTCCCCTCAGTGATGCTCTCACTCCCTCTCCTTCCTCCCAGCTCCATCCCCTGTTCAAGAACAGCAGCCTGGGAGCTTTCTATGTGGGCTGCAGACTGGCCCTGCTCAGGTGAGATACTCCCCAGTTAAAGGGCAGCCCAGGGGCAGAACTGTTCCTGCAGATGATTTTCCACATCCCAATCTGCCTCTCCCTCCTCCCGCATGTCACTCAGAGAACCTCTAGGTCTACCCCAGAATCTCAGAGGATGAGGCAGGAGGCTTACCCTGAGTTGAAGGCCAGCCTTGGCTATATAAGAAGTTAACTCCAGCCTCACCTACCTAAGGAGACCCTTTCTCCAAAAGGAAGAGCAGTGTTTAGGGCTGGCACTTCAAATTTGCTCTTTTTTCCCAGTCCCTACCCCCAGCTTCATTTCCCTCACAGATAAGACAAGACAGGTGTTTACAGGGTAAGACCCTCAGTGAGTTCAGAGGGCCCTGATTTGGGCTCAACCCTCAGTGGGCTCCATCCTTCTAATCATTGTGCCGAGTGGGGCCTTGCCCTCGAGACTGCAGCTTCCTCTGCGCTAGCGTTGGTGCACTGTCAGGCTGGGGCTGGTGAAAGTTGGGGTCACACTGAAGGAGACATCCTTCCACCAACCATGTATGCTGCCCCCAGGCCGGAGAAAGGGGGAGCAGCCACCAAAGTGGATGCCGTGTGCGCACACCACCCTGGGCCTGAAGGCTTCAGGCTGGACAGAGAGCGGCTTTACTGGGAGCTGAGCCAGCTGACCCGTGGCGTCACCCGCCTGGCCGCCTACACCCTGGACAGGGACAGTCTCTACGTCAATGGTGAGCAATGGGATGCGGCTGGGGTCTCTTTTCCCTGCTCCAAAGGTTTTTTTTTTCTGTGGATGGTCACCTTCTGTCTCCTTCCTGAGGGCTCAGCCTGCACTTGGTGTGTACTGTCTCCTGTGTGGCTCTCGCTGTTTGTTCTTCTTGCTCCAGAGTCATCCTCAGGGCCTCTTGTCTGCTGTGAAAGTCCCCACCATGAATCTCCTGGTGGTTCTTGCTTTGTGAACGTACCTCCCTCTGTGACAGGGCATATGGATCCCTACTGCATGCTCCACTTGTTTTGTGACCCTAACCCGCCCACTCCCCCCTTGTCTCTGCAGGATTCACCTACCACAGCTCTGCACTCAGCACCAGCAGTGAGTACTGAAGGGCATCCAGTGACCCTGCTCTCTGTGCCAGTGAAGCAGAGCAGGAGCTCAACCCCAGGCCCCATAATGTCCTCTCCAGGAGCAGAGGATGTAGGGGGGGGGCACAGTCTTTCACCCTCCCTGCTTCCCCAGCCTCACCCAGAGTCCCAGCTCTGCCCCACGTGCAGTAAGCCCCATAAGCACTCTGTCCTCTTGGCCTTGCTGCCCGGGGAATGCCTAGCAGCTTTCACTCATAACAGCTTTTCTCAGGTACTGGGTCCCCCACAGTCAGCCTGGGAACATCTGGGACTCCTCTGTCCATCTCCAGCACCACAGGTAAGTACCAGTGTGTGGCACTTCTTTGTGCGGCATTCTGAGCCTGCAAAGGTGTCCCACATGGTATACTGAAGGGTGGACAGTCGTAGGAAAGCTGGGAGTCATTGGACACCTGCTTGGTGCTAGGCACTCAGATGCATCAGGGAACACACAGGAAACAATCTCTCCTCTCAGCCGCTTTTCCATCGTGGGATGCTGCTGATGGTTGTGGTAATCATGATGCTGAGGAAGATGGTAACAAGTTAAGGATTATGTGTGGTGCTGTAACCTGCTGCACATGATCCGAGCATTCTTGTACAGCTAGCTCACCTTGTCTAGGGTGCTTTTGCATAAGCTTTCATTATTACCAACAAGGGAGCTGTAGAAACATTTTTTTAATCACTGTTTTTATCCTCTGTTGACTATTTTTTTAAATAAGGTATGCAAACTCCTGCTTTGTGTATACTTCTATGCACTATTTAGTTTTCTCACCTTCAGTTTGGGGCGAGTTGTTTGGCCAGAGTAGTTCTATAGAATTTAAAGAGGTGATTCTGATTGGCCCAGGATCAACAAGCCACCCTGGGGGTTCCCTCTGGTGGAGAATCAAGTGTCTGAACGAGGCCCTGAGCAGACGAGAGGAAATGCTAGACAGAGAGCTACAACTAGGCATTTCTCTGCTCTCCCTTTCCTGTTGCAGCTGTGAGCCCCGCCCTGGTACCCTTTACCATCAACCTCACCATCACGAACTTGCAGTTCATGCCAGATATGAACCACCCAGGATCCTCCAGGTTCAACAAGACCGAGGCCATCTTGCAGCACCTGGTAAGACCGCTGAGGTATTCGCAGGCCATTCCTTCCCTTCCTCAGCCTCCTGGCCTCCTCCTCAACTCCGTCTCCATTGTCCCCAGCTTGGTCCTCTGATGAAGGCCACCAGTATCGGTCCCCTCTTCTCTAGCTGCAGGCTGAGCTCCCTCAGGTAAGACATCCAGGATGAATACTCACACTTCCATGTCCCAACCCAGCTCCCGAATCCATCTTATTCCCCACCTGCCTGGTGGAGCAGCTCTGAGCCCCTGAGATGCTGCTTCCTCTGAGCTTTCTCCCCTGGTCTTGTCCTCTCTGCATTCTGTTCTATCTCCTCATCTTGAGCAAGGCAGACATTCTCCAGGAGGGAATGCCCAGAATTTCCAATACTCTGCTCTACTTGTCAAAGTTACAAAACAAAAATAGAGTCCTCTGTACCTACATGAAGAGTTGAAGAGACTTCAACTGTACTTCCCCCAGTCCATTCGTAGGCCCCTAGGGCTGTCCAAACGAGGTGTTTGCTATGTCCCTTGGTGCAGTCTAGGATGATATGAGGCTGTAATAGGATAAATATTCCTAAATCCAAAATGCTTTGAAATCTGAAACTCCTTGATTTGTCTCAGTAGTGTTCAAGCAAATTCAAACTGTAGAGGATTTGGATCATGGATGCTTCTCCGGTGCAAGACACCCATATACTCTGAGTCCGAAACCTTGGAAATGCGAAACACTTCTTTTCCTAAAAATTATAGATACTATAATTATAGATATTATACTATAAACATCCTGCCAACACCCATCTCAATTTGCTTTCTGAATCTACAGGTCATTTATAAATGATCTTCGGACATTTTGATTCCTTTATTCTCTGCCTTCTGTGCAGTCTCATTTAGTGTTGCTTTACCTTGATATTCTTGCAAGACCTCCCCACCATCAGTCTTTCTTATGTCCCTATCCACGGGTCCCCCTTCTGTAGGCCTGAGAAAGATGGGTCAGCTACCAAGGTGGACATCATCTGCACCCACCACTCTGAGCCCATGACCTCAGGGCTGGACAGAGAACAGCTGTACTGGGAGCTGAGTCGTGAGACCCACAGTGTCAGCCGCCTGGGCCGCTACACCTTGGACAGGAACAGCCTCTATGTCAATGGTCAGTGCTCTGCAGCTGCAGAGTGGCATCTCCACGGGTCTCACAGTAGCTGTGTTCTTGGGCTCACAACTCATAGGAATAGGTGTATAGCCGCAGTTGTTCCCAACTCGGGCAACTGAATGACTTAGCAAGACTTGGTCTCAAAAGAAAAAAATTAAAGATGCTGGTGCTGTCGTTTAGTGTGCCAGCCCTGCATTCTGAAACATGACACAATACAAAAAGGAAAACAATAAGAAGCCTCAGGTTGTTGGCTTCTTCCCACTCCTGCCCTACTCCTCACCCTTTCTTTTGCTCTCCTTCCCTAGGTTACACCCATCAGTACCTGACCTCCACCGTCAGTGGTGAGTAGTTTGGATACCAGGATCACTGTACAGTGACCCACCTCTTCTTTCCTTTAGCTCACAAATCGTATCCTCCCATCAAGGAAGGAATAAGGGGGCCTGGTCTTTCCCAAACTCAGGAAAGACTTGTCCCAACAGACGTTTGACTTTAAATAGAAAAATGGTGTTCAGATCCCGTGATGGACCCTCTTGGCTGGAGAATCCCTGCTCTCTCCACCTTTCCCTGACTGTGTTTCTTCCTCAGCTTCCATGGCCTCTACCATGATCCCAACATCTTCCACCCTTGTGCCAGTCTCCACAGGTAGGAGCCTTCTGTCTCCATTTTCTTCTTTGCAAAAGTCTGGTGTCCTGTGGGATGTATCTCCTGAGGAATATGAGTCTCATTTATTCATTCAACAAATACGTACCTAGAACTTGCTATATACCAGGCTCTTATGATACATCATAAGCAGAAAAGAAATTGCCTTCGTCTTTGTTGGGTAGACAGAGACAGACCTGACTGTAAACCTAAGCCTGACTGAATTACATGTTCCTGAGGGAGATCGGCAGGTGTGTGGAGAGGGTTTCTCTCTTCTTCTAAAATGATCTCTCAATTCCCAGAATGAGGGAACAGCAGCAGCTGTGCATAGACCAGCAAAATCATGTGCTCTTCAGGGTCTCACTTGCTCAAGAACTCATGGAGTCTCTGGCTGGCTAGGGTGAAGCTCAGCTGTTCTTTCTCCAGCCTCCAGCCGGCGCAGGGTAGATTTCTGTGCCACCTCCTCACCCTGGTGAGGCACAGGGTGAGCTGACATCAACTCCTGCTGCCATCTCTACTTACACATCAGCAAAGGATTCTAAAAGATGTTCCACCCACTGGCTGCTCAGGTGTACCGTGCTGGTGCTGTTACCCCGGCCTGCCTGTGGTCCTAGACGGAGAGGTTAGAGCACAGACGTAGGGGACACAAAGCCTGTATTCAAATCTCATTCTGGCCTTTATAGACTGTGTGGCTTTAGCAAAGTATTTAAATTTCCACTGGCTCACTGTGCACCTGTAAAGTAGACACCATAAAGCTGTTTCTCTCCAAAGCACTGAATGCAAGGTAAGGCTTTTAATACATTCAGATATACTGACTTGTTTTTTGAAAAGGCAAGGAAATAATTTAAAATAGGACCCAATATATAAAAAAGCCATGTATGTATTTCTTCCAATTTTTTAAAAAAATTAATAAATGTGTTAACAGAATTACAATTTGAGTTAAAGGAAAACTCAAAGAAGGAGAATGTCTATGAGAATTTTAGCCACCTGGAGGGTCAGATCTATTTGCTTTCGGCTCGGCAAGGCATTTACTAATGCAAAGCAGTTTCTCATACTTGCGCACGATTCCCTTTAGTTAATGCTGACATCCGAGGAGGAGGACCCTGCCACTGATTGAGGGTGAACATAGAAGATGCCCCATGTGTCGGTGCATACAGCAATAATAGACTCAACGCAGGTCTTTCTCCCATTCCTGTTGCTGCAGCTGGCCCCATCCTGGTACCATTCACAATCAACTTTACCATTATCAACCTGAAGTATGAGAAGGACATGCATGAGACTGGATCTCGGAAGTTTAACTTCACCGAGAGAGTCCTGCAGAAATTGGTGAGAGCCCTGACCGCAACACTCTGCTCCACCCACTGACATAAGCCCCGCCCACTACGCCTCACCACGCGGGCCTCATCCTCTCGCGATAGATGCCAGCCCTACCTACTGACGCCTTCCCTGCCCACTTCAGTCGGCCCCACCTCTCTTCCCTCATCGCTTCTGCTCACCTTCCTCTCGTTCTACAGCTCACGCCCTTGTTCAAGAAAACTAGCATCGGCCCTCTATTCTCTAGCTGCAGACTGGCCTCACTCAGGTAAGTTCTTAACGGTAGCCCAAGGACTTGGCGGCCCCAATTCCTCCCAGGTCCAGAGAGGCACTGGCTAGATCCCCACCAGGGTTTCCCCAAATGGTGCCACTTTCCCCATCAGTGCCCGCCAGACTCTACCACCTGTCTCCAGGATTGGGCTCTCCCCACCTCTCTACTCAACATTTCCTTGGAATGCTTTACATTCTGTCCCCAAGATTTTAAGGCAAATATGTCTTTTCCTCTTGCTTGAATCCTGAATCCCAACTCTTCCCCAACTAAAGCATGACAGCTCTTATCCCCAGTCCATGAGGTTGCATATTTGAGTCTTGCATTTAATAAAGCTTCTTGAAGCCATAATTGTCCACCATCCCAGGCTGTCTGGGCTCTAGAGACAGCACCCAAAGAGTTTAAACCTAGTATCTTACCTTTCTATGAGTGTCATCTTTTTGTCCCCTTCCAGGGGTCTCACAATCCTGTTTTAGACATTTCATTTATTGCTGTTTCCCTCCCTTGTACTCACAGGCCTGAGGGGCATGGAGCAGCCACAGGAGTGGGTGCCACCTGCACCCACCACCCTGATGCCACCGGCCCTGGGCTGGACAGTGAGAAGCTGTACTGGGAGCTGAGCCACCTGACCCGTGGTGTCACCCGCTTGGGCAGCTACTCCTTAGACCAGGACAGCCTCTATGTCAATGGTGAGAAGCAGCTACCTGTGCTGTGTGTACTGCACTGTACATTCATATTCCCCACTCCCAGGGTTCCCTTTCCTGCACTCTGCCCCATCCTCACCCTTTCTTCTTTTATCTCTACAGGTTACACCCATCAGATGCTGGCCACCACCCCCAGAAGTGAGTATTCTGAGGCTCCACTACCCCTATACATCCCAGCCCTTTGGAATGAAAAAAGTCAAAAGCCCATTCTCTCCATTTTCCATCCTTATCCTACCTCCTGAGATGAACAGAAACTGTTACCCTAAAGCCCCCAGGCATGAGCTTTTCCTTCCCAGCATTTCCATAGTGATGAGGTCCCCACTACAAACACTTTCTTGTCTGCAAGCTTCTATGATGCCCTCCATTTCTGCATTGATGCCTACTTCCTCCTCCAACCCCTCAGGTCAGAATTCTCCTCTCTATAGATGTTCACCATGAGAGGTAGAAGGAAGAGGTGAACTAGGTGACACATTTCAGGACCCCAAGGTTGACATTTTTATGATGCTGGAGATGAAACTGATCACCTCACATATGCCACCAAACACTACCACTGAACCTCATCCCCAGCCCGCAAGGTTGACTTTTGATGGATTTGACAGTCTCCACAGATCCCTAGAATCCTTTGAGTACCAGCCCCTCCTCCTAGGACCCAGTGTCCTAAGCTACTCTCTGAAATCTACAGGCAATGCCTGGCCTCTAAATTCTCCCCCTACCTTGAAAAAGGACAAGACACCAGATGCATTTGCTGAGAATAAATTGGTCCTGTGGCCAGTACACTAGAGGCCAACTCCCTAGGCTGCTCAGTCAGCAGTTGACCAACAGCTTACGTTAAGGAATATTGCTCTAGAAAGGACTGAATACAAAGACTTTATCATTCTTGTGAATTCTTTCTCTTTTTTAATTTTAAAGAGAATACAAAAATAGTAAAAAAAAAAATTCGAAAGGAGAAAGTGCAAGGGCCTGAATTCAATCCCTGGTTCCACTAAAAAAAAAAAAAAAATTATAAAATATTTAAAAGAAGGGGGAAAATTAAAGCATTAACTGCTCCTTTCAGTCGGCCAGCAGAAATCATCAGTACACTTATCCAAGCTAGCCCGTGTACACACATATTTATTTCTTCTTCCCTTCTTTCTTTTCTCCTCTCCCTCATCCCAGTTGTTTGGAACGGTTTCTTTCCCTTTCACAATATTGATTGTGCCTTTCAGGTCTTATTTACTCTTTGAGGTTCTTACACTAACAAGACAGTACAATGTTTGCACATGTGGGTCTGAGGTATTTCATCTATGAGCATGGTCTCTAGTTGCATCCATTTATGTACAAAAGTCTCAAGTTTATCTTTTTATAGCTGAGTAATACTCCATTGTATAAAACTACCAATTCATTATGAATTATGTTCCTTACAGTATGTGCATAGTAACCCCCTGACTAGAAACAAAAAAAAAACATGGCTTGTGTATGTAAAACCCAGACTCTGTGTTTCTGGTTTCTGTGTGTGGCTAAAGCTGGGGTTCATCCACAATAAGATGGACCCTCCCCATCACCATTCTACCTCCAAAAATCTCTCCAGATTGGATCTACTTCTGACTGTCTCAAGAAGATAAGGTCCCCTGAGTGAGCAGGGCTTGTGTCCCTTTGCCCCGTCCAGACCAGGCCTGGTGAAGGAAGTGAAGGCCACTTTACCATGCCTAAGTGATTTAAATTCTAGAGCCTGAGCTCTTGCCCTAAAGTAGCTGTGTAAACTTGGGGTGGTGACTTACCTGCTCTGACACGTATTTCCGTCCTCAGTCAGCTGGGAGTGAGTGACAGATTCTAGTCCAGGGGTCACATAGGAGTACATGACATAGAGGGGACTGAGCACCAGGAAGTGCCTGCCCAATTAGCGGTCACTGGTATTGCTGTTTCATTGTCATTTTTATTACCACTACCATTATTAGTGTCTTTCAAAATCAAGTTTCTTTCTCTGGGAGAAATGTGTGCATCTCTTGCCTTAAATGTAAACACACTGGAGACCAGGACCTCTACCTGGCCTGGATTCGGAGTGTCCCTCAACCCTCAAAGCTACTTCAAATAGGACTCGGGGTTTGACTTCTCCCTTCATCTTACCACAGCCTCTAGCCTCACTCTGACACCTTTCACCCTTAACTTCACCATCACTGACATGCCCTACATGGAGAGCATGCAGCCTCCAGGCTCCTCGGAATTCAGCAAAACAGAGAAAGTCCTGCAAGGACTGGTGAGAGCCACACCCCCTCCCTCTAGCCCTGCCCACTGGTGCCTTCCTACTCATCCTGGCCCCGCCCACCTCATTTCCTTCCATGGAAGCCCCGCCCTCCCACCCCTTTCTTCCCACAGAGGCCACCCCCACTTCTCTTGCTCTATTGGTTCTTGATCCCCGTTTAGACCTTTCACTCATCTCCTCTCTCTCCTCCACAGCTTGACCCTCTGTTCAAGAACACCAGTGTCGGCCTCCTGTATTCTGGCTGCAGACTGACCTTGCTCAGGTGAAACCTCCAAAGGAGCTGGCCTAGGGTGGCATGATTGAGATTCTTATGCACAGTTATCTAGGCCTAGGCCCTCCCTTTGGTCTTAACCATTTCCAGCCCCAACCTGTGAAAGCCACTTCTCTCCTTGGACCCCTGACCACCAGGCCCTCTTCTGGATTTTCCCATGCTGCTAAGCCTTGGATCTCCCATGAAGTGTGAGCTTGTCAGCTTTTTGTTGCAATAACAAAATACCTGAGATAATTAATTTATAAGAAGAGCTTTATTTGGGCTCCAGGCCACAGTCAGGGAGACCTTTGCCCTCAGGCCTGTGGCCAGGCAACCTGCCATGGTGGGAGAGTGTGGTGAAGTAAAGCTGCCCACCTGGCCACCCAGAAGCAAAAGACAGGAAGATGAGAGAGCTGAGGTTCCACAGTGGCCTTTGAGGTTGTGACCCCACTGGCCAAAGGCCTCCCCAACCCCTCCTATCAAAGGTTCTACCAGCTCCCAGTAGTGCCACCTGGGAACCAGGTCATTAACCTGTTGACCCTTCCAGGGACTTTTAAGATCCAAACCATAGCATAGCATTTTCTAGAAACAAAACAACAAACTGTGACAACTGCAAAGTTTGCGTCAAATTCACCTCCATATAGGACACAGCTCTGAGCCTTTACGAAGGACGCACATATGTCCTATAATCACAGTCCACAAAACATGCAAATATTCCTGAAGGTTAAGGCACAGAGGCGGTTAACTTGTGCCAAGCAGTGGCGGAAGACCAGGACGTCTGCCCACACTCTCCACCACATCTTTCTTATTATGGGTGGCTGTCCTCTGCATTGCAGGTGACTCAGCAGCGCTGCAGCCTCTAAATATCCATCCTGATGCCTGTAGTAACCCTCTTCTCCCCACCTCCAAAGTTGAGACCACCAAAACTGTCTCTAGACACTGTCGAAAGGTCTTCTGAGGCACAAGTTGCCTCTAGCTTAGAAACACCAAGCTAAACACACCCCTGACAGTATTACCCTAAGTCTTTCAGCAACACAATTGTTGTCCCGAGTGAAAAACTGAGGCCAGGAGAGGTAATGGAACCAACTGATACCAGATAGTGAAGCCAGGGTTGGAGTTCGGTCTCCTCAAAGCCCATGTCATTTCCCACCATGCTCGCCTTCCCACTTTCCTCTGAGAATAACACAGCCTTTGCAGTCCATCCCCTCGGAGCCCAACTCTGCTAGTGATGGGAACCACGGAGCATGCACAATGACTTCCACTCCAGGGTCACCAGGGGGATTAGCCGCAGTGGGCACCTCTCCTCAACACCCTCGAGTCCCTGAAAATTTCCTTCTTCAAGAGAGGAAACCCGTAGGGCCGGACAAATAGCTCAGTGAATTAAAGCACCTGCAAGCAAGTGCAGGGGCCGGGGGTTGGATCCCAAGGTCTGCCGTGCCGGCTGCACCCCCGGGGCACACTGAGACAGTGATTGAGACTGGGTGTGGTGGTGTGTACCTATAATCCCAGCTCTTGGGAGGCTGTAGACAGGCAAATCACTATGAGTCTGATCTAGTAGTAAGACCCTGAACACCCTGTAGACCCTTCCCTAAAATACAAAAAAAAGAAAATAATAGAGGGGGGAGAGAGGAAGAGAGAAGAGAGAGAGAGAGAGAGAGAGAGAGAGAGAGAGAGAGAGAGAGAGAGAGAACCCGCACTATGGTACTGAGATACATAAGAAAGATGCAAGCTTTCTCCGAATGTGGTTCTAGGGCATGAGTGTACCCCCTCTGCCCCCATGCCTTGGAAGTCCACGAACTTCATTTCCATTCACTAACACTGCTTGAGCTCCTACCCTGTACCAAGCTGTCCCTGCCCAGCTCTGAAAACTCAAACCGTCCCTCACAGAAGATCATTAACAGCTCATTAATAGTAGCAGCCATCATAATTATTATATTTAGAACCATTATAATAATTATGGTGGCAGATATTCATTTTTAAGGCACACCAGGGGTCACTTGGAGCGTACCACTTACACTGCCAGGTTTCAAACCTCACAACACACACTGGTGCCCCAGGTACCATTGTTATGCCATTTCATAGCTGAGAAACTGAGACCCAGACAGACTGCTGAAGGTTTGAGAGTTGAGAAAAGCATACTGAGTCAAGCAGATGTGAGATTGAAGTTCACACCTGGAGAAGAGAATATAATGGCTGGGAGAACTGTTGCAGGGAAAGAGAAAAAAATGTAGGTAAAGAAAGAAGAGCCTGGCTGGAGAGATACCTCAGTAGTCTAAGTACTTGCCTGGGTTCGATCCCCAGAAGCACATGCCATGGGGGCCCTAGGCATGGCTGTGCCAGCCACCTGAACTGGGCAAGGTGGCATATGCCTGCAATCCCAGCACTGGGGAGGCTGAGGCAGGAGGATCACTACGAGTCTGAGCTGCGTAGCAAGACCCCTGTACCAAATAAATAAATAAAAACCAAATTTAAAAAAAAGAAAAGAGCCAGAGGCAGAGAACATACAGAGCTGAAATATTCAACTGCAAGGGCAACAGGTAGAGAGGTGACCGATGCAGGCTTCGGATGGTCTAGAACTGATATCGCCATACTGGGGCTTCATTTACGGACAGCAGGAAAAGTGGAAGAGTTCAGCAGGTGTCTAACAGGGCACAATTTTTGTTTAGAGTGAGAATTGGCTGCCACAGCAATCACACCTCACAGGCGTAGGGCAGCGTGATGGGAACCTGGCTCCAGATGGCAAAGTGAGGACGGATCCCCAGTGGGAAGAAGGTAGCAGCATCCTAGCTGCTGTCCATAAGAGCCACACCATGTTCTCGCAGTCCTGGCCAGACTCTCAGAATGCTGCCACAGGCCTCACTGGGGGATCCTCATTGGCTGCGATCCCAGATCCTTCCTTAACAGGCTGAGAGAAGAGCCAACAGACATCCAAGTCTAGCGGGCTTCTCATTTCCCGCCCCCTTCCCATCCTGGCCCCAGGATGTTGGCTTCCCTCTCCACACGATCCATTAGTGGTCTTTTTTCTCACCATCCCTACCAGGCCAAAGAAGCACGGGGAAGCCACTGGAGTAGATGCGGTGTGCACCTACCACCCAATGTCAGCAGGTCCTGGGCTGGACAGAGAGAAGCTGCACTGGGAGCTGAGCCAGCTGACCCAAGGTGTCACCCGACTGGGACCCTATGCCCTGCAACAGGACAGTCTCTATGTTGACGGTGAGAGCTGTCATCCCTACTTTTCTGTATTCCTGATGCCCGCAGCCTCCACTTTCACAGTCTGCTCCTTCTTCACCTCTGAGTACCTCCTCCCTCACATTTCTGACTTTTTTTCTGCAGGTTATACTCACCAGATTGAACCAGCCATCCCCAGTGGTGAGTAGTCCATGGCCCTCGGGACTGTCCTATTTTATCCAGGGACAGGATGGTGAAGTCTCGCTTTGGTCGCTAGCTGTCAGGGAGGGAAGGATTGGGAAGACTTTCAAATCACAGTTACCTGTTTATCATCTCTGCATTCTCACTTCTGTATACCTTTCTTTGGCAACAGAAATATGCCACTGAATGGAAGTCCTATTCAGTAGAAATATGGCAATGAGAGTGCTAGGCAGTAAATTATCCCCTTCAGAGGTTAGTAGCTTTCAGATCACCCCCTGCCTACCAGGATCACGTGATGGTCCAGTGTTAGCCACAGCTAATGCTTGAATCATTAGATGCCAGGACCCCTTGACCATTGCTATGGTCTCCAGTGAGATGCTCCCTTGTCTCAGCTCTGTGGTCCAGACCCTATTTCTCCCCTATATCCAACCACGGTTTGATTCAACATGATGCCACCCCCTCTCCATCCCTGCTGCAGCCACTGAACTACCCCTGGTGCCATTTACCCTAAACTTCACCATCACCAACCTGGCCTATGAGAAGGACATGTGGCATCTAGGGTCCTGGAAGTTTAACAACACAGAGAAGGTCCTGCAGCTGCTGGTGAGAGCCCTGCTGCCTTGTACCAGCCGTACCCACCCTGCACCAGCCATGCCCACCTGCCTCTGACCATAACCACTCCAGCCCTGTCCTGCCCTTTCATGTCAGCTCTATCCACCCATCATCCATGCCTCACCTGCTGCGAAAGGCATGACCCAGCTGTGATGACCTTTAACCCTACCTCTCAGAGTTCTTTCTCTCTCCACAGCTCAGATCCTTGTTCAAGAACACAACTCTGGGCCCCTTCTACACTGACTGCAGACTGACCTTGCTCAGGTGAGTCATAAGGATAACTGGCCATGGTTCTTCCAAGTGGTCCTAGGCCCTGGGAGTTGTTCCCCTTCTCTCCTGTACCCTTTATGAATATTTTAGAGTAGGTGGAATTCAGGAGGCACTGACTTCAACACAAAAATGTCATCTGGTTCCTGAGGAACTGTTCCCTGGTCCTGCAGAGTTTTTCAGCAGGGTTGGGCTGTAGCCCTCTTCATCCATTCTGAAATCCTTTCTTCCTTCCTTTGCCCTTTAAAGTACAAGTGAATTTCTTTCAGGTCTCAAATACTGGTTTTTCTCAGATCGTGAACACGCCTTCTCCATTTGCTTCAATGTCCAGCTCCAACTCTTTGCACATCTTGGGCACAACCTTTCCTGTCTCAGGCACACAGGCTGCCACTTGCAAACTCACCGCTGAATCATGTCTCCTATGTACCAGCTCTGCTCACAGGTCTAGAACATGCAGAAGGCAGGACACTAAGAAATCAAAGATGGCTTCTCATCTCTCTGTGGGCTTCTCATTTTATTCTGGCCCCTTCCTGTCATTTCCCCAAAAACCTCAATACCCTTCCTACCAGTTCTCTTATGGTCATTTCCTCTTATGTGTCTTCCCCAGGCCTGAGAAAGGTGGGTCAGTCACGAGAGTGGGCACACTCTGCACCTACCATCCAGAGCCCATGGGCTCCAAGCTGAACAGAGAGCAGCTGTACAGGGAGCTGAGCCAGCTGACCCGTGGGGCCACCCAGCTGGGCAGCTACACTCTGGAAGAGACCAGTCTGTATATTAATGGTACGTGGTGACTAATATTCCCTACATTTTAGAGCCCACAGCATCACCATCCAGGCCTGCTTCATTCCTTTTCCACCTTCCAACACTTCCCTTCTTTTCCTTCCCCTCTCTCTCCCTCTGCAGGATACACCAACAGGACTGTGGCAGCCATCCCCAGTGGTGAGTACTTAGGGACCATCAGAAGCCTCTGCCACAGCCAGGAAAGAAAGCACCAGCTCCCTGCCCTCATTTCCAATTTTCAAGAAAAGAAGGAGGGGCCACCTAGTCTGAGAAGTCTTGGCCATCACAACTGGCTGTGTATCGCCTCCACTTCTTCTCCCAAAGCAATGCTATTCTATCATAGAGGGGTGGATGAGTGGAGGAAACAGGGGAATAACTCAACAGAGATCCTGGAAGTGAGGATGTTTGGTTAACGTCTTTGTTCTTGGAAGAGTAGTAGCCTTCAAATCATTCCCTGTGTTCCTGCAGCATGTGACATTCTAGAGTGTATTAGTGGCCCTCAGATATCCTCAAGGGACATACTGGGACAGAAGCAACACTTCCTGCCAGATGCTCCAGTGGTTGAGGGAAAATGAGGCCAGACCACAGGCCAAGAAATCTCTGCAGTCTCAGTTGGTTGCCCACCGTGTCCAGGTTGTTGGACACATTTCTCTGGCCACTGAGAGGTCCTGCCATATCACAGTCCGGTAGATGAAAGGAGAACTTCACAAGTGAGGAAGTGAGCAACTTCACAAAAACACTGAGATGGGAGTGAAAAGGTTATGTCATAAACAGGCTCCTCTGCAGCTTTCTGTCTGCCCAGTATTTCCCTTCTGGGCTGCAGCATGAGACAGTGTCATGTCATGCACGACTAGCGGTTCAGATCTCCTGAAATGATTCTCCCTCCAGGGAACTTTACTCATCCATGGCTTGGAGCTCCTTACTGAACTTTCTTACTCATCTTTCTTGCCAACACCTTTTGAAGCATAATTGTCTTGTCAATTCCTTGCCCTCCACATTGGGCAATGGTGTAGTCTTACACTGTGGACCCACCAGAGCCCATTACAGAATCCTGAGCCCATCAGGCACCCAACAAATGTTCATTGAATGAGTGAATCAACATTACTGATCACTTAGAAGTTTAGAATTGCCCTTGTTTGGCTCCTCTGATATCTCCAGAGATATCATCCCATACTCTGGGTTAGAAAAAAACTAACTGATGACTATGACCCAAACTGGACCCTTTTCTCTTCCTCCAACACTACAGTCAGTGGCTCCACCATTGTTCGGGTCACCATCAACTTCACCATCACC